GATAAGCCAAACTTTTCTTCAGCTTAATAAAAAAAAAAAATAAACTGAAGTAATAATTTGTGTACAAAAAGAATAGGGTTCAGCTGTTAGCACATACCTCCAGTCAATATAAATAGAAAGCATAAATCTGGGTGTAGTGATGGACTCAGACCGGAACTTCGGAGGCTCATAAAGACAGTATCAAAATCTTACCTTACATCACCTAAAAAAAATCTACAGGGTTAAAGGACTAATGTTTCAGCAGAACCAGGAGAAATAATTATGTTTAGTAATATTCATCACTGCCCAAAAAGTTGGTCAGACAGCAGCAGTTGATCCAGAATTCTGCTGCCTGCATCCTCACTAAAAATAAAGTGGAGCGCATCAACCCTGTTCTAAAATAATTGCACTGGCTCCGTGTCTTTTAGAGAATACACTTTAAAACACTTCGTTTAGTCTATAAATCACTGAGGCTTAGCTCTAAAATAAATTACAGACTTTTTGTCAGTATGTTAACCATCCAGTCTTCTAAGGTCTTCTAGTTAATCTCTACTTTGCAAACCTAGAACCACACAATGATAAGCAGCTTTTAGTTCTTAAACTCCAGTTAACCAGAACAGAATCCCAGAAAACTGTAAATGTGCTGAAGGAAGTGATTTATTTGTTTACAGTAGCCTTTGGCTTTTCTGTTTAAACATTAATAGTTAGTTTCCTTTCTTTCATTCCATTGTTATCAATTTTTTTAAAATATTTTTGTATATGATCAGATTTTAATTATTCATTGTTATTCTCTGTGATTATTTGTGCTGCCCTTATGCTACTGCAATTTACTATTCCTTTTTTTCTGATGTATAGCACCTTAAATTGCCTTTCTACTGAAATGTGCTGTACACAGTAAATAAACCCTTCTTACCCTGCCAGAGTGCTGCAGTCTCTCATATCTTGTTTACCTACAAAGACTGAACATCTGCAGAACCACCTTGATAAAATGGAGCTACATGGAACACAGTCTCATTGATAACACTTCAATTAGAAAAGATATACCTTTATTATTTGGTTTAAACAAATATAAGTGCTTACACATAGGGTTATAATGCGTTTGATGACTCGTGTCCTGCTGCAGATGACTTTTTCACTCTGAGGATGTGCAGACTCAAGTTTGTTTTCTCTATGCAGTTCCACTTGTCCCAAGCTTTCTTGGAAGCTCCAGTAGACACTGAATGTTCCGATTTAAAAATGCAGAATTCTATGTTTTATATATGTTTTAATGGCTAAAGCTTTTTCTGCATAGAGTTTGCATGTTCTCCCAGGGATTATCTGGATATTCTTATGGCACTCTTGATTCCTCTTACCGATAGGTTAACTGGTTAATGGAAATGACTCACCAGCCCCACAGCGACCCTTAATGATATAGAAAGTAGATGGATGGATCTACATGAGCCAATAAAATGTTATATTAGGTCTAGATATTAGTTCAACTATTTCTGCGTGTATTTAACAAGTGGAAAATAACTACCTATTTAACTGAATTAAAACAGTAAGCTTAGTGAATTAAAAATATTATTTGAGTTTCTTTGTTCTTATGCAGCAACATGAATTTAACTGAACATGTTATACAAACATAGCTATTCTCTTAGGCTATCTCTATTTTATGTGCCCAGCATCAAATATTTACAACAATCCACAATGAGAGTCTGTAAAACACAGCGGTTATAAGTGTTCCTTCTTGGTCCGATTGTGTTGATTCAAGCTGTTCACTTGATCAGCATTTCATCTATTTTATTGATTTAGATCTATATTTATTTATTCTACTTCATGAGGAATTAGATGCTTCATTAGGGCAAATCTTACTAAAAAGTGTGCATTTTTCTCTCACTTTAGAGCCATTTTGAATAAAAGTTTTATATATGTAGAATAAGGAGTTGCAAGCAGACAAAGATCTCTAGATAAAAGTCATTGAGAAGATTGTCTTATCTTTTTATATATAATTCTGTGGAATACCTTGAGCAGTTATAAACACCGATTTGTTCAATTTGAATGTAATATATGAATGTAATATATTAAATGTAATATATAAGTGAGAATTAAGAAGATGAATAAACACATCTGACTGACAGGAGAAACACACAATGGAAATAATGCTAATTTCATAAAAACAAAAATAATTAATGGTTTGTAAAACAGAACCAAATATGAAACTTTGAAATGTTCAAGCTGCAGACAAATGAAGAGATAAAAATTCAATTTGTTTTAATATTTAAAACCTCTTCTACGTGTAGTCGCAAAAGGAGAAATGGAGACTTTTTATCTTTCACTAAAAGATCCAGTGAGTTTTTTTTTCTGCTGTCACGTTGGTTCTTCCGTTTTATAATTTCCTACATACTGAGGAGAGGTGCCTTTCAATTATTGAGAGCAATTTTCTGAGCTATAAATGGAAGGAGTCTTATTGTTTTATATGTAGAAGTGCCTGTTTCTGCCAAAGATGATTTACTTTAGCTCTAAAGAAAGAGGTTTCGTATTGTGACCAGATACTTGAACAGGGGTCTCCAACCCTAGTCCTTAAGATCCACTGTCCTGCAGGTTTTAGATGCCAACCCTGCTCCAACACACATGAATAAAATAATTGCCTCCTTTTATGGCCTTTCCTAAACATGATGGCATGCTCAAGAGGTCACTAATGATATTGTCGTGGCCTCAGATGGACTTGTGTCTGTACTTGTCCTGTTAGATCTCAATGCTGCATTTGACACAGTTGATCATAATATTGTTTTAGAAAGATTTGAATATTTGATAGGAATTAAAGGAACAGCAGTAGGCTGGTTTGAATCGTATCCATCTGATCGATTTCAGTTTGTTCTTGTTAATGATAAATCTTCCTTATGCTCCAGGGTTAGCTTTGGAATACCACAGGGATCAGTGCTAAGACCAATTCTGTTTACTACAGTATATGTATTCTCCCAATTTGTAGAATTAATACACAGCATGGGAATAATTTTCACTGATATGCTGATGATACTCAGATATATCTGTCTAGAAATCCAGATGAAGGTAACCCATTAAATAGATTACAGGCATGTCTTGAAGACATACAAACCTGGATGACTCTAAACGTTCTCCTTCTGAATACAGACAAAACAGAAGTTATAGTCTTTGGACCAGTCTTTGAAAAAGAAGCTGATTAGCCAGCTTTGGATGGGATTAAATTAAACTTATTTGACCACTTTTTGCATGTGTGGTTTACTTTAAACCAATATACTTTTCATTTGAGTTGCGGCTACCTGAGAGGCTGCCATGTGGGCTTGGCCGGGCCGGTGAAGGAAGAGTCCCAGCTGCAAAGAATCTCCTCAGTGACACTGAGACCTAATTGGAGTCATTTATTTCAGAAGAGGTGTGAAGGTTTAAGTTTTTACATAATTAAAATTGAGGAGTTTAATTACTTATTTCTTTTCTCTCATAGGTTGTTGATTTTTTTAATACTATATATTAAGTTTATTCTTGTAGTTTTGTTAAGTTAAATTAAATGTATGTAATGTGATATTTCCCCCTTGTGTGTCAGTTTGTTAGGTCAGTTAATATTTCAGTTGCTAGTGTTAAGTTTGTTTTTGTTGAGCTTATTCTCTTTTTGGGCCCAGATTTATGTTTAGAGTTAAGATTTTCAAATAAATGTGTTACTATTTTTTTCCTCAAACTTCACTGTGCTCCTCTGATTTTTTTTTTTGCTCGGTCCCTCACAGGAACTAGCTACCGGTTTTAGATTATGAGGCCGACACCCTATCTAATTTTTAGGCTAGGCTTAAAACTTGATAAAGCTTATAGTTAGATTGGCTCAGGTTATCCTGACCTATCTCTACAGGTATGCTGCTATATGCTTAAAATGCTGGAGGACATAGAGACCCTTTTTCATCATTCTGCTTTATTCTATCTCTATTCTCCCACTCTGCAGGATTTGTTAGTCCAACCTCTAACTTTATGCTCCCTCTGCTTTTTCTCATCATAGTAGCTTCATCTCGTCTGTTGCTGTCTGGCTGTGGCACAATCCTGGAGAGAAATATCAGCTGTGCTGCCACCATCAACACCTTTGTTTATAGATGTTGGAGATCGGCCTGTCTTTCAGTGTAATCCTCTAATCCTCTTTCTCTGACTGTGACTGGCTGGATGTGCTCTCTTTCATCCTCTGACATGGGAGCTGGCTCAGAGCTCATCTGCCTGCTGTGTGTTTCCTGTACGGTGTTCCTTTTACAGTTGTATTTTGTATCTCTTCTTCTGTCTCATTGAATCCCAGTCGACCTCGGCAGATGGCCGCACTGAGCCCTGTTCTGCTGGAGGTTTCTTCCTGTTAAAAGGGAGCTTTTCATTTCCACTGTCGCTACATGCATGCTTAGTGTGAGGGATTGCCTTCAAGTCAATGAGCCAATGCAATAAACTGGGTTTCATTAGATCGAAAACTTTGAATCAATTTGACTGTATGATCTGGTGATCTGTAAAGTGCCTTGAGATGACATGTGTTGTGAATTGGCTCTATATAAATAAACTTAATTGAATTGAATTTTAGCTTGGTACCATCAGAGTGTGAGTGTGTATGTGAATGTGTGAATTACTGAATTTAGTGTAAAGTGCATTGATCAAGTTATCTGACTTGAAAAAGCACCATAAAAGTAAAGGTCATTTACCATTACTGTTAAATGTAAATAATCAGAACAAATAATATTTACTTGATTAAGGTATATTTCATAGCGATACTGTGATAATTTACCTAAGATGGTGAAACAGTGTGAATCTCCTGTCTTATTCTGACTTTAAATGTCTAAAAATGTGCTTTCTAAAAAAACATAATCCACTGCTCTTGTGTCTTCACCGGAAATTGTACAGAACAGGTTTCTCCCTGCTGCAGCCACCTTACATCATTTTCACCTTTTCCCACACATTCACACCTGGATGTGGTCCAGCAGCACCACACCGAGCCGCCTCACACCAAAGCTGCCGAGAGCTACACAAACATATTCGTGACACTTTACACTCACACTTTGCAGGGAGGCCGTAGCCACAGGTGATCTTGGCCTCTCCAGTCTCACAGCCGTGGAGGGAAGCGCACTCCTTTTTTAGCAGGGGACCTGCAGCCCGGTGGATGGCTCCGTCCACTGCAAAGACAGAAAACAGGAGACTTAGGCAGCTGCCCTGCTTATGTGAATCCACTGAGATCTAACCAACCATTGGTTTAAGTTCAGCAAGCAATGTTTACTGGAGCTGCAGCTTAGTGGGAATTGGGCCTGGATAATGCATGCATTGTTTGAATTGACTCCTACTTAAGTCAAAGCATATAGCTCTTTTCGTGTACTGAATGGATTTCAGGGCTCCTGCTTTCAGTAATTACTTCATCTAATGTGTTATTAAAGACTCAGCTGAACCGAGTTTTTGGTCAATTAGCCATTATTAATTACATTTTCATAAATCTACATAACACTTAGAAATGTGCGTCTATCTCTGAACCCCGCCACATCTAAAGGCCGTATTCATTTCCAGAAGGGCAACGATGCACCAAAAGCAATTTTACACCAGAGCCGATTACACTTTAAGTTGGAACTTAAATGCCTTAGATCCTGTTTAAAGTCAAAACTCAGACAGAATTGGTCTTAGCAATTTAATAGTCAACTTCCCATATTTTGTCCTGGTGGCTAAACATTAACATGTATATTTCTTAAGTTATTTAGTGATTAAAACCTATTAAGGTTTACTGAATCATTTCAACAGCTACACAAATCATTCTGTTAAACCATTTATATTAGCTTAAAGTCTATGCATAAACAGCAATTACAATTGAACACAGTGTGACCAAACTGCAAAATCCAATTTGATTAGTAATGTTTTTCCTAACTCAGCATAATGAGGAACCTCAAAAGTCTTTTTGGGCCGTTTTGTGTCCTCAGAAGAGGAGAGATGAAAGGAAATTGAGGGATGAAAGAGACTGGAAATGATGTCCTTGGAAAATTGTGTTTCAGGCAGTTTGCTTGGTAAAAAAGGACCAGCGGTGCAGAAAGAGAACAAGCATTTAATTGAAAATATACTTAATTGCTCTTCTCCATAGCATTTGTTCGATCGATATTGAAAAACAAATGCCTGAAGGAAGCTTTTTTTTAATATTAACGAACCACTACAGCAATCATAGGAAAGGTAATAGTGATATTTTAGAAACAGCTTTGAAAAGTTAAGAATGACTGGAAACAACAGAGATGATTACGACTTATCTGGCTAAAATAAAAAAAAATTACTTTTCCAATCACAAAGTATGGAAAGTATTCAGACCCATTTAAAATTTTCACTGTTTCATTGCAGCCATTTGCTAAAATCAATAAAGTTAATTTTATTTCCTATTAATGTACACCCAGCACTCCATCTAGACAGACAAAAACAGAAATATAGACATTTTTGCAAATTTATTAAAAAAGAAAAACTGAAATAGCACATCATAAGTATTCAGACCCTTTGCTCAGTATTGAGTTGAGGAGAAGCAATCATTTGAGCTAGTAAAGCCATGAGTCTTCTTGGGAATGATGCAACACGTTTTTCACACCTGGATTTGGGGACCCTCTGCCATTCTTCTTTGCAGATCCTCTCCAGTTCTGGCAGGTTGGATGGTGAGCGTTGGTGGACAGCCATTTTCAGGTCTCTCCAGAAATGCTCAATCAGGTTTCGGTCAGGGCTCTGGCTGGGTCAGTCAATAATGGTCACAGACTTGTTCCCAAGTCTCTTCTTTGTTATTTTAGCTTTGGGTCATTATCTTGTTGGAAGGTGAACCTACGGCCCAGTCTAAGGTCCTGAGTATTCTGGAAGACGTTTTCTTCTAGGATCTCTCTGCACTTGGCCGCATTCATCTTTCCTTCAATTGCAACCAGTCGCCCTGTCCCTGCAGCTGAAAACACCCCCATGGCATGATGCTGCCACCACCATATTTCACTGTTGGGATTGTATTGGGAAGGTGATGAGCAGTGTCTGGGTGTATCCACACATACAGCTTAAAATTGAAGCCAAAAACTTCCATCTTTTTCTCATCAGACCAGAGAGTCTTCTTTCTCATAGTCTGGGAGTCCTTCCTGTGTTTTTTTTGGCAAACTCTATGCAGGCTTTCATATGTCTTGCACAAAACAGAGGCTTCCATCCATAAAGCCCCTACTGGTGCAGGGCTGCATTGAAAGTTGACTTTGTGGAACTTTCTCTCATCTCTTTACTGCATCTCTGGAGCTCAGTCACAGTGATCTTCGGGTTCTTCTTGACCTCTCTCACCAAGGCTCTTCTCCCTCGATTGCTCAGTGTAGCTGGGCGGCCAGGTCTAGGAAGAGTTCTACTCATCTCAAACTTATTGCACTTAATGATTATGGAGACCACTGTACTCCTAGGAGTCCTGCAGAAATTCTTTTGTAACCTTGGCCAGATCTGTGCCTTGAAACAATCCTGTTCTGAGCTCCTTGGGCAGTTCCTTCAACCTCATCATTGTCATTTGCTCTAAAATGCACTGTGAGCTGTAATGTATTATGTAGACAGGTGTGTGCCTTTCCTAATCAAGTCCAATCAGTTTAATTGAGCACAGCTGGACTCCAATGATGGAACAGAACCATCTCAAGGAGGACCAGAAGAAATGGACAGCATGTGAGTTAAATATGAGTGTCACAGCAAAGGGTCTGAATTCTTATGACCATTTGATACATCTGTTTTTCTTCTTTAATAAATTTACACAAAAAAAATTGACTTTTTTTCTATCAAGATGTTGATACTGAGTGTACATAAATGATAAATGAAATGAACTTTTTTGATTTTAGCAAATGGCTGCAATTAAATAAAGAGTGAAACATTTAAAGGGGTCTGAATACTTTCAGTACACTCTGTATCACAGCCATTACCTGTAAAACCATTTAAAGGCAGTTTCTGGACATTTTCCAATGATTTCTTTTCTTTCTAGTTGTTTATTAGACAGGAAACAGAATGAGCTCACACAAAAATGTCCCAAGGTTGGCAATCAAACCTCGACAGCTGCATGGAGGGTTATTGTCCTCCATTGCTGTGCAAGAGTTCTGAACAGTTTTAAAGTAATTGTCCCTCTACTTCCCATTTTTTATTTACTGTAAAAGGGAATTGTGTTGTACAACAAGCCGTGGCAGATCCATGACCAAGTCTACCCCGGTCATTTTGATTTATTTACAGATTTTCTATCAGGTTTTAGCTAAAGTAAAAAACTCACGTTTTAACATGAAAAAAAAAAATGTATTTCCTGGCGTAATATTGCAGAACTAAATAAGCTTACAGGAAAATATAAAAAGCAAACACTAAAATTAAAATGGCACCCAACAGCCCTGCTTAAATAAAAAGACAGGTCGAATTGGGGGTAAGTTACACTGGAAATATTAAACTACCAACGATAGTTGATGGCTGAATGTAAGTAGTGGGAACTGTTTTCAATATACTGTATGTGCATCAGACACAGTAGCAAAACCACACTGTAAAATAAGAGAGAATAAACCTTTAAAATATGTCTGCAGTATCTTACCCTGCCATGCCAGAGAGAGAGCATCTGAACCTTTTGAGTTCTGCCTCGATTTGTATTTTTGTTCACTGCCTACAGTATGCCATGTTCAAATTATTTTAAGTAAAGTTTCTATATCAATAAATGAGGCATTCACAAGACATTTGAAAAAAAAAATTGCTTCTGGATGTAAACACTTGTCAAGCTAAAACTACATCTGTTGTGCTTGTATATTTCTACTGTATTGTGCTGTCTTGTATTTCCTGTTTTCTTAGAAGCAGTGTTTTGTTGTCTTTGTGTCAGAGTCTGTCTAGTTTAATCGTACTGTGTCCATGCTACACTTATATTTATGCATTTTACTGCTTTATTAACATTATAGTCAGGGGATTAAATCTTTCTTCGTGGGACTTGATAATTGCAAAAAGTGTCTTTGTTCTTAGATTTACGTTTTTAACAACAGACACGGGTAAGAGCTGTAAACTGTTTCTAGTGGATAGACTTTAAAATGACATTGTTATTGCATTAAAAGTTAACCAGCCATGCAGTTCTTCAACCATCAGCAGCATCTGTTTGGTGCTAAGATGTTTAAGACTCTGCTTATGTGTTGAAATAGATCTAAAGTCAGAGTGTGGTGTAAACAATTTATAATTAGCCAAGAATAAAACACATCTGTCAGGAGCAGCTCTGTCGCAGCATTGAGCGTCTTGTCAGCTCTTGGTGAAAATAGTCCTGTAACACCCATCCATATGTCACAGCTCAGCATGTCGGCCCGCGGTGCTCATCTTCGTCTGACTGTATACAGGCCAGCTGTTACAGCGGTGTGCGAGTAGCTCCAGGCAGGGGTCTGATGTTATCTTAACGTTATTGTGTTAAGTTGGCATGTTGCATGCCGTGCCGATCCATGGTGCGCCGTGTCGTGCTGTGCCGTGTAAAGCTAAGACTGCTATGTGAGCGAAGCACAGAAGCACGGGCGTGACAGACGAGCTGCAAATACTGGCTACCCTCCTCAGGGTCCACCCAAACAAGCTCTGATGTGTGCGTAAGGGTGAAACACTGCATGTCGACGCGTATGTGCAACTGCTCAGGCTGAGCTTTCTGTGGATTTCTGTGTGTTTAGGCAGAGCAACTCTGAAACAGAACAAGAGATGAGGGAAAGCAGCAGATGTTAAAAAAAGAAAATACAAAAAATACTCCACTGGGAGAAAATACAAGAAAAGCAGAGACAAAAGAAAAAATAAGAGGAAATGGAACAAACTTTGATTTGAAGTTCCATAAATAAAATACATAACCTGTATTTGCACATTGGTTTACTTGAGCATGTGCACAAACACTCTAGGTTAAAGCAAATGCTTCTATGGAATAACAATGAATCCTGCTTCAGGAAGGTAAACAAGGCAAATGTGTTGACTCAGATTAATACTCATTTTTAGATTAAGTAAGAGTGACGTCCAACTTTTGGAAAACAAGAAGGTTTAAATTTGATAACATCTTTTAATATATACCAGCCCACCAGCTCTAACCAATCTGGCCCACAAGTCCCAGTGCTGCAACTAGTATTTGTCACTAGGCACTATTATCCAAGTCATCTTGAAAACCACCTTCTTCGAAAGGTTGGCTAAATATTAC